TCACATAAGTTTCGAAAAGCCCATTCTAGCTTGTTCTAATGAAATATATTGAGGATGAATGTCTTCACAAACTATTTTTCGAATAGGTCTGATAGCAGATGGGCATTTTGTTTTAAAACTAGATGAAAGAAACTGAGTCCATTGGGGAATTAGGGGCTGATCTACTTCTATGAATTTAAATGGGCTAGGGTTTGTACGTGCTTTCTTAAATTCGTCCAACCAATCTTCAACAGTTTCTGCGTTGATCTGCTGGTTAATGAGTCATATATTTCTGTCACACTTCAAGTATGAATGACCTCTTATTGGAAAAATCATTTTAATTTTGTCAAATCGTCTTGTGAAAATAACTACGTAATTAATGAACTTAAATCCATTACACTGGAGTCTAACTGCAAAAATATAAAATTATGCAATATTTTCGCAGTTTGCGATATTTTCGGGGTAACAATAAAAGTAGGACTCGCCAGTAGACAGCGCGTGAATATTAAAAGAATATAAAGTAAGTTGTCTTCTATAATACACGTCGTTGGTTATAATGTTTGGTAGAGAAAGGTTCTTTTGGAAATCCATCGCTATTGATTCGAACTCTTTACTCTTCATACTTCTTTTTCTTACTTTTATTTTATGATCATAAAATACTTTGGCCTTTAGCAAATGCAATTCCTGTTCTATTTCCTTCTTTGTTACTTTTTGAAGAATTTTCGTGTCATTTTCTGGCGTCGTTGAATCATTTTTATTTTTCAATAGTGCTGTGGTCTCAGCACTATATTTATCTCAACTACTGCAGGTACCGCTGCTTGGATATCCACACTTAATGTTGAAGTTATTATTAAAAATATTACGATAAAACTCATAAAAAATATCTGAAAAAGATAAAGCCGTATACATATTATACATTTTTCTTATTGTTAGACTGTCTGGTGAGTACACCACTGTAGATTTTTTCTACTGTAGTGGCTCTGTCGGCCCTTAAATTAACTAATATGATCTCTTACAACCGCAATTGTGGTCGAAGGCTTTGTAGAATGTACGAGTTTTGTTTATATTTACCCCTCATATCTGTCTGTAGATGCATTACCAGTTTTTTTTAGAGACTGCCGAATCGTTTGTAGACGACGTCCAGTAAAGCCATGTAATGAAACAAAAGCTCTCATGCAAACTGGTACTTCGATACAGTTACTATGGTTATCAACCGGACGCCGAACTCTTACTTTATAAAATTATGCTTTATCGCGAAACTTGTCATCATTTTCATTTTTTCGTGGTCTGCGGTTCTTTATTGAAGTCATGGAGTCAAGTAGTCATACCAGTCAAGTAACTGTTCTGCTTATCTTAGCTCGACATTCTATTACATTCCTTAATCATGGTATTTCTGTCCAAAAGTCCAATTTTTTAAAAGCATTTGTACGGTGATCACTTACAATCTGGCCCTATTTCGTGTGAACTTAACCTCAATTGCTTCATAACATCACATAACCTTCCACTAGTTTTTTTTCTCTTCTTAGATCCCACGTTTAAGTTCTGCACAGTACTTTTATCACTGCTGTCAGAACTTACAGTCTCTGTCTTTCTTTTTATTATAATATTTTAAAATACACTACTTACTACTTATTTGAAGATGGACATAAACAAAACAGACTCTAAACTAAACCGCATAGACTTACAGCAATCTTGCCAAGCAGCCTAGGCGATTCGAGTCTACTTTTTATAAGTAGTTTTTTGGTACAATATTACCTTTTACCATAAAAGTTGACTTTCATTGTTTTTGCCGTGTAGGCTTCAATTATATCCTAACAGACGACAACCCTATTACAGGACTTTTAAAAATATTTACAACTGGTTAGCGGGAACTGGCCAATTTCGTCCAAAACTAGAACTAGGGGGTCCAAAAATAATTACAGTGAAGCAGGAGGATAAGTGTTAGTAAAAATTGCTAATAAACATTAGTTAAATATCAGACGTTTATCAGCAATAACTGGAATAAGCCAAGCTCCAGTTGTCAGAATATTAAAAAACGAGGACTTACCATTTTACTCCAGTGCAGAACTTGCTACTCACAGAACTTCCTTGACGAACGGAATTTGCACAATTTGTTATGGATAGGACAAATGCAAATAACAATCGTTAGCAATATTATTTTTACTGATAAAGCCACTTTCACATTTGGGTCACATTTGGGATAACGAAAATCCATATATGCCATCAGAGAAGTACACTTTCAACATAAGCTGAGAATAAATGTTTGGTGTTGAATTGGTATAGATAATTTAATAGGTCTGTTTGAAGTACATGCAAATTTCTTTTTTTTGTGATATAGCCCGATTAGGTTTTTAAATTATATACCTTTTATAAAGGCTTTTTAATAAATTTATTTCACCAAATATTGCACTTCTATAATTTGTCTGGATACATGCCACGAGATGCCATCTCAGCAGGATTCTGTTTAGTATTGACATAGCTCCAATTGGAAATATCACTCAATGTTTGAATTTCTAATACTCGATTACTAACAAATACTTGAAGTCTGTTGTAATCAGCTACTCTTGTTTTTGAACCCAATAATTTAAATTATACTCTTCTAAATTCATCAAGTGTTCGTACATATATCACTGCACTGTAATCGTTTTTGCTGGTATCACTAAATTTCCTTATACAATATAATTTCCAATATTTAGAATGTTAAGAAACTTGAAATAAAAAATTACCACTTATTTCTCAAACCCAAGGAAAATTCGTCGTCCCAATCTAAATGTTTTGACCACAATTGCTGAATTAAAATTTTAACACAAATAATACATGGACTAATTAAGCCAGGAGGATCATATATTCTAGCGATACTGCTAAGTACTATTCTTTTGGTAAAAGATTGATTGATACTATTATGTTCTGCAACTTTATATGTTAATAAATCTGAAACACTCATCCATTGGATTGGATTCCTTGAATCTTAACCCTATAATTTTTATCAAGTTCTAAAATATTTAAATTCTCAGATGTGCCTTGAAAAACATTTAATATTATATGTTTACTTTTTGATGCCCACTTTCTTAAATTGGGTGAAGCTGACTGTAAAATTTGTGAAATTTGATTACAGATTACAGTTCCTTGCGCTTTACTGCTGAATCCTGTTCTGAGATCATCCATATACATATCACGATCTATCAATTAATTAGCAATTGGATAATCATGTTTATTAAATGAAGCTAATCACTTTAAACAGTTAATAGCTGAATATGGAGCACTACTGGTAAATATCTTTCATTTGGATGAATTGAAATGTGTCTATACATTTTTTCAATGTCTGCATTACTGCAAATTGATATTCCTTAAAGCCTGACATAATTTTAAAAATATCGTTCGGTATAGTTGATACTATGTTGAATAACATTCAGAGATAATCCTGAATTGGTTTTGTTTGAACTATCAACTACAATTTTAACATAAGTGGCAAGGCTGACTTTACGAAAAACAGTCAAATGAGGTAATAAACAGCGAAAACGTTCAATTGGCTCTTTATCTGTTAACTGTCTCATATGTTGTAATTATTCTAAATATCCATCTATGAATTTAAAATATTTCTCTTTACAAATTTTACTATTTTCCAACTTTCTCTCTTGAGAAAGTAATCGTTTAGTTGCCAAATTTTTTTATTCACCTAATTGAGTAGATTTTAACTTTAGTGGAAGTCGAAGAATAAATTTCTCAGAACTGTCTCTAGAAACTGTTTTATTAAAATAATTCTCACAAAATGCTTCATCCGTTAACATTCTTGGTTGTTCATGGTGAATCTATTCAATAGACTAAAATTTTTGAAGATCGTCATTTATTAAAAAATTGCAGATGGCATGTTTTGTAATTGGAATATTCATTGGACCTGATAATTTCTGGTATTATCTATAACAGAATTAGTCCAAAGCTACTTGAATCTTGAAGCAGGTTTCCGACCGAAAAGAAGCTGCTCAGATCAGGTTCTTTCACTTACCACATTTATTGAGGCAGGGTTTCAGAGAAAACTTAAAACTGCAGCCGCATTCATAGACCTAACAGCGGCCTACGATACAGTCTGGAGAGAAGGCATGATATACATGCTCCTCCGTATAATCTGTAAATCCACCGCTCGAATAATCAACAGCATGCTCGCCAACCGAACGATTCAAGTAGTCATGGGAACCGACATCAGCACCCCAAGAAAACTGAAGAATGGAATGCCTCAATGGATCTAGCTCCTCTTATCTTTAGCCTGTACATCGCTGATATACCAGAAACTAGATTCGCCGATGATTCGAAAGTATTGCTGGTGTTATCAAATCCGCCCCTACGCAATGGCTCCCAGTCCTGAGCCACATTCCACCACCCAGACTACGGCGTATACACTCCCTACAGAGCAGATTGCAGTGGAAAATAAGTTCAACTTAACGACCACTTGGACTAGAGAATGGATGGAACAACAAAATAGTAGCTTACCCTGCATCACACAAAAACCACCAGATTTCGACTTACCACGCAACACATGGACTATGTTGAACGAAATCAGGACCAAACATGGCAGATGCGGTTATATGATGCACAAATGGGGTAAACGACTATCTCCACTCTGTGACTGCGCACAACAACAAACCATCTGTCACATCACAGAACAGTGTCCCACAACATCCTATCAAGGCAGGTCAGAGGATTTCCTAATGGCGACTCCAGAGTCGATAGAATATATAAATAATTAGATGTTCATTTGTAAACATATATGTATTATGTTTTATACAAATTATGTGTAAATTTAAATGTAAATTTGTCGAGTGCCATACAATAAATGAATAAAAAAATATGCTCCAACTTTTACGTAAAAATTTTTTTTCGAATCTTTTACGATAAATGAGTAACTTCCTCGTACTAATGCTGCGCCCTATATAAAACGGAAGCATTTAAAAAATATTTTACCAATTTCTACGAGTTATAAAGATATTAACCAAATGTGTTTTTATTTGATATTAAAGATTGGCAGTATGGAGACGAGCGCCGATAGCATGGATGACGACGTTTTCGAAACGGTAGAGGACAGCCGATTAAAGATAAACGCTATAAATTCGCAACAAAAAGGCGGGACTCCGTCGCCAACGGGCTATAGAAATTATAAACCTCCTGCGGAAGTTTTGAAATTGGCCGAAAATGATATTATCGAATCCGTAGAACCCATCGTGCACAAGGTAAGAAGTATTTTTATATATCTACAAGTAATTTAAATTTTTTTCCCGAGACTAACTAGTATAGGGTAAACTGGTCCATAGTAGAAATTTGACTCTCCTGGTTACTTTATCGTCGCGGCAGAGCTATATTTCAGTGTGTGTGCTATCATAAAGGTGTCTCCAGATCTGGTGTTAGTTTTTCAATTATTACTGTGCGTTTCGATATTGTGAAAATTCAGGTGAGTGTTCAGCTGAACTTTTAAACTAAAATTTGGTATGGATATCTAAAACACATTTAACCGTAATATCGTCTTATTCTGTTTAAACCTAAAGGCAGAAATATACCATTCAATTCGGTTGAACAATGTGGATGATTCAATTACATTTTTCAATCAAATTGAAAAGCATACATATACACGCTTCAATTTATTCTTCATTCAATTCGGTTGAACAGTGTGGATGATTCGAAATGTACGTACGGAACTTATTATATCATAAGTCAAACTGAAAAGATTCTAACTCGAAGAGGTAAACCGTTAAATCGAACAAAATCGACAAAACTTATATAGATGAGTCAATGTGGATGAATCATCCCAGTTGTACCACGAAGTTGAACGAAAGTAGAAATTATCTCAACTCATTTTAACGTTCAATTTTGTTAAACGCTTTTATTGAATTGCGAAATACATGGTTCATTTTGGTTGAATCATCGACATTGTTCAACCAAATTGAATGGTGTATTTCCGCCTTAACTCTACCAGGTTGATCAAATTTTTGGTCATTTGCATTTTGATGCGCAGTGGTTCATAGGGGGAATAAAAAAGAGGTCCATACTGGTATATAGTAACATAATGTGGTCCATGCTGAAATATAATAAAATATAATAAACATTTTCATTCTTTATAAAATTGAATATGCCGAGACATCCGAGATCCTAACTGTCAGCAGTTTTTGAAAAAAGCCTAGAGGATCATGAAGTATATGCAAGGTCTATGCACTCTGCAGTAGAAGATACTGTAGAAAATCAAATGGCATTGATGAATGCATCCAAAAAGCATGGTGTAAGCAAGTCGGCAAAACAGCGGAAAATGAAGAACTTCAAATTAGCTAATGAAGCTAATGAAGAAAACACAAAGGGTTTTGAATATGGACTCATGGTTTCAAAACGATATTTACAAGTAAAGAGAAACAGATATTGTGCGAGTACCTAATTTAGGCTTGTAAAATGTGCCATTACTAATAATAAAACTGTACGACGAGCTTGGTACAAGAAGAAACAAGCTAGAGTCGAATGGTTAAATAATTTTAGGAAACAACACTCTATGTTATCGCTTCGAAAACCAGAAGCCAATAGCCTTAGCAGGGCCACCAGCTTCAATAAGCATAATGTGGCTACAATTTTCACAAACTTGAGAAGTATAATAACAAAACATAATATATAAAGACAAAGGGATTATTTTATTGACATTGCCTCCCCATTGGAGTCATAAATTACAATTGCTCGACGTGAGCTTTCTTTCCATTTAAAAGCTATAACCGAGGAGTTTATGACTGGATACTAAATCATCCTTCCTTGCCTATGAGAATTTATGATGTTTGTAGTGTTGTTGGTACCTCCTACCCTAAAGCAGTCAACATTCTCAACGGATTTCAAAAAGAGGCACAGCACCCCTGAATTCCCAAATTTTTTCAGATAGTGATTTTATGTCATCTTATGTCACTGATAGGCCCAAAGAAAATAAAAATGGAAAAAGTAACGAAAAAAGGATAATGAAAGTGTTCAGGATGTGGAAGATGTTTAGGATATAGAAAATGATCAGAATGTAGAAGAACCACGACATGCCAGCCCAATTATTGGCCCATCCAATATAATAATCACTCGGCAAATTAAGTCACATGCCAAAGCTGCTTGGGAGACGCCGAAAGAAGCTACAGTCACCCCCACTAATAATAACAGATACCCCCATAAAATATGCCTTAGAGGAACAGTATAAAAAAAGATTGGCTAAAAAAAACAATCTCAGAAGAGAAAAAGCAGAAGGCTAAAAAAGTTAAACGTCAAGTTTTTAACGACGACATTAAATCGAACAGTGATGTTACTAAATAGATTTGCAACGATTTTAGCGATTTAGAAAGCTTTACATAAGAAAATTAAAATTTGTCTATTCAAAATCAGGACTATCTTATAGTGAGATAAATGACAAAAAAACTGTTAAAAATTATGTCGGTCAGGTAATTAAGATAAGTGGAGATGAATATAACATCTTTCATGAAGAGAATTGTGGCCGGCAAATTTGTTTTCTTCGACAAACCCGATGCATATACCTGCATATACATATACCGATGCAGATACCATAGGAGCAGAAGATATTTTTCTAAAGCTGCCACCTCCTGCATATATTAATTCATAAACACCTTCCTTTTTTTAGCAAGACCTAATCATGACTACTCCACCAGAAATTCAACCTTTGAGGTGTATTTACTTCCTTCTAAAGTAAATTACCTTAACGATAGACAGAAAGGTTACCCTAAAGTTACACCCATCAATTCAAACATCCTAATTCTAACAACATACCCTAAAATACAAGACATGTGGAAGATCGTTATTACATTGTCGATAATATTGATTGTGTGCTACCGTTTAAGACAAAAAGTAAGGAGGAAATCATTATCAGTTTATATAGAAAAAATGTATCATAATAAATATTGTTTTGTTATTGTTATTATAAATACATAGGAGACAAACTCTGTAATGTTTTAGATATAGTTTTCTTAGTTTTATTATGAAATTTTGCGCATCAAAAAGTTTTCAGCATATAATTTATAAATTAATTAACGTTTCAATATTGTATCCCAAAACACCCTTTTACTAATTTTAGTTTTCCAAAACTATTTTCTCACTTAAACCATATTACGTAAATATTGAAATTGGGAGTCACTTCCTCTTGATTATTAAATTCTCTGAAATTATTAGATAGGTATTCTATATAAATTAATACGTTAATTATAATTATATTTTCCGGGAAAATAGAGCATTCAGTAAATACCATATATTTTCTATGTTAATGTAGCAAATAACTGCAGAGATATGTCATAAAAAAAAACAATCAAATAAGAGGGTTGTCGTATAGAAAACTGATTTTTGCTTAATCAGTAGACATTTTGATATTAATTTCCATAATTTCTTATCTGCCTTTACTGATTTAATTTTAAAAAGCCTTCATTATGCTTTCATATCCAACTTCCCTCAGTTATGTAGTATTAAATAACCAACAAATTAGTAACAAAAAATGATATAAATATTTTTCTTATTATACAAATAATAAATTATATGTACGAAATTTATATTACATAGTTATAGCTTACTTTGATAGATAAAAACTCCGCCTTCGGTAAGTACTGGGTGAATTGAGTAGCTCAGTAAATGCCGATGCCGGCCCCAAGCCCGGATAAAGGAGGAGGGTTGAGGCGATGGGCTAGCAACTCGTCCCTTGTCAAAAGAAATTAATGCTAAAAATTTCGACCAAAAGCCTCGGAATACAAAGGATGGATCAACACAAAGACGACTAATGCAACGAAAAAGGAAAATGATATTGGCTACATGGAATGTACAAGGACTGAGAACCAAACAAGCAGAAGTATTCAAAGAATTAGCGGAAAGAAAAATAGATATATGTGTTCTCACAGAAACTAAGAAAAAGGGAAAAGGAAATGAAGAGATAGGAGAATATATACATATCTACAGCGGAGTGAGTAAAGATAACAGAGCTAAGAGGGGAGTCTCTATTGCCATTCGAAAAAATCTTAAAAACAACATTAAATCGTGGACTGAAGTAAATGAACAACTACTAATACTAGAAATGAAAAAGAATGGGCACAATATCGTAATTGTCGGAGTATATGCCCCAAACGAAGATGCAAATCCAGAAAGTAAAGACGATTTCTACGACAATATGAATGAAAGACTCTCTGAAGTTAAAGAAAACTGTGAAATCTTTATACTAGGAGATTTAAACGGCAGAGTAGGGACAGAAGAAAATAGCAGAGTCGTAGGAAGATATGGAGAACAAATAACCAATGACAACGGAATGCGTCTTAGAGATTTTTGTGAAATAATGTCTCTCAAAATTATGAATGGATTTTTTCAACATAGAGACATCCACAAATTTACATGGATACAACCTACTAGGAATCTGCGCTCGATAATCGACTTTGTAATCCAACGTCAAACTTCCCAGCTGAAAACAACTGACGTAAGGGTATACCGTGGATCAGAATGTGGATCCGACCATCATTTACTTATGGCCAATGTGATAGTTAACTATCGCAAAAACAATAACACTCAGGTACAGAATATAGAAAAGGGACAAAAAGTAACATCTCCTAAATATAACCTAGAAAGCTTAAAAGAAGATTCAACAAAATTTCTTTACAAATTACGACTGGCCACAAAATTACAAAATGTGGATCGAGAAAATATAACAGCGGAAGAATTATACCAACAACTTAAAAAGTACATTCATGAGGCTGCAAGTGAAGCTTTGGGGTATAAAGACAAACATGAAACAAAAAATCAAGAATGGTGGTCGGAGAATATGCAAACGTTAGTAAACAAGAAGAAAACTGCTTATCAGAAATGGATGTCAACGAGAAAGGAGGAAGATCACAAGGTATATACGAAATTAAATCGAGATGTAAAAAGAGAAGTAGTGAAAAGTAAAAATGAGATGTGGGATCGAAGATGTGCAGAGGTGGATAGGTATATGGGTGGAACAAGAGTTGGGCAAGCGTGGAAGGTGATAAAGTCTCTCCGGAGGGAAGGAAAGGAAAAATCTAACTTAAAATTAATAGATCTGAAACAGTGGAAACAGTATTATGAGGTCTTATTGACAGAGGATAGACGTAAATTCCAAGATATCGAAATGGAAGAAATATCTGAACATACACAAATAATTGAGATAACAACCGGAGAGTTAAGCGATGCCCTCAAAAGATCGAAAAACGGTAAAGCAGCAGGACCTGGAGACATCCCAATTGAGTTGGTAAAGTATGGACCAAAAATATTACACGAGATGATGGT